TGTTGTTAAAAGTTGCTTTGTGAATGGCCATGTCCTCCCCCTGGGCATTGCTACATCCATGTAGCAATGGATACAGCCTTTACCCTACAGTGTATTTAAATCTTATTTCATCTGACTTCCTGTGGTCTCCACAAAATGTCTCTATATGATTGTAGTACTACTCTACTTCAAATAGAAAGGAAATTCTGGAAAATGGTCACCTAAAGACATTGAGATATTACATGTTTCCAAGCTGGACAGAAGAGGAGGAAGGAGTATTTGGACCTGAGCAGACAAATTGATAGGGATTCTTAAAATTGGCCTATGAGAACACAGAGCTAAGCAATAAGACTGTGAAAGAAATCTAGGGAATCTGCTCTGAAAGTACTCCCTGAGTCTGGAAAAATCTAGAATACCCCTTCATAAACCAAAGATCTAGTTGAACATGTAAAGCCATCTTAAATATACAAAGCAGGTAACTCTGCTCAGAAGGCTGCTGGCTAAATACAAGCTGTATATAAAAAGACAAAAACAAAACATAGGACCAGGAATGGTAAATGACACCATGATTTTAAACAGAGTTACTGATGATTAGCTGAGGAAATCCATCTGCAAACAACTAAAGATCTTTTCCCCTAAAGTAACAGAAACAAGATGTATTAATTACTTCACAAGTTACACAGACACATTATACTATGGCAAGGATTTCGCTGGCAGAAAAAGGTCCATTGAAAAATATAAATGTGAGATTTTTGAATTGATGAGATTATCCTAGAAAAGTCAAGCTGCCCTGTGAAAGGTGAAATGCTCATTCCCTTTATAGCAACTTTATAGCTAAGCCCTGAGGGTTCACTAATTTCCTCACAATGGTAATGCATTGTTCCCCAAACAAGATGATCCTGTGCTTGCACAGGTGGCCTAGGCAAATAATACATCTGGGTTGAAATACATACACTCATCACAATACACACAAAAGTAGGCACAAGAACTTAATCATCACAGTGCTTTTTACATGCTTGAAGGTGTTACTGTCATAGCCACCAAGTAAATGCATAGACAGAAAAGCAGAGAAGTCCAGAACGAAAGTATTGAGGTCTCTGCAGTTCAAAGCTTTAACTGCTGTTTTGCTTCTGCTCAAAATACTTTGGATATTTGAAAAAGTCAATAGTTTCATAACCAACCTTGGACAAGCTTAATCTTTGACTAGCACAGTCAGCCACGACACAAACTTTTCTGATAACTGCTGGTGTCATTGATCTTCCCCTCGGTCAGCTCACTGCAGCCTCACACTCGCTGTGCCTGGCTTGCGAGGCCGGAGGGGAGCAGTTAACACCTCTCTGCCAAACCTCTCCTAGCTGTGGCAGCTTATGTGATGTGGTTTAGCTTTTCTCACAGGGTTCTTTAGTTTGACATTTGGACCAGCAGAAATAACACATAAAGACGGCAAATGAAAATATGTATTTCAGCAGGTTTGTGGTTTTTTGTCTTGTAAATAAACAAAATCACCATTTGCCATGTAAGTTTAACAGAATGACAGATTTAGTAATTACCACTCCTTAAAAATAATAATCCAAGGGCCACATCTCATTTTCTTCAAGTAAAAAACTCTTTTGGTGGTCTCTAGTTTTGGGCATTTTCTTAACTTTCATGGAAAACATATAGAAAATCCACATATTTCCCATTTATTTGTTTAAGTTTCAAAAAGTCTGTTGTGCAAAGCAGAATTCAGTTAAGGGAAACATATCAGGCTTGTTTTACTCTTGAGTTAATGGGATGCCACACCTAAGAAAGAGGAATTATGTTGGGTGCATCTCTAAAGACTCTACAGGTGTCTAGAGACAGATCTGTCTTTGTTCCTCTCTCTCAAAAGAAGCTGCCAGGAGCAACTGTTCTTTCATCTCAAGTCTTTCCTTTACTTATACACACAGACTGGGATGGAGTCACAGCTTCACTGCTCTGTTGCTATGATAGCCAAACTATGTTGGAAGACTGAATAAAATGAGGAAAAGAAAATTTGGCTTGTTAATTTGATATATAAACCTTTGCCTTATCATCTTAGTCCTCTGGAGTGTCTGATTTTAGTTTATTATGCTTGCTTATATTCAGCAAAAGCAAGGCATAATATAGAAAGATGACTAGATAAGAAATATGTCCCAGGTTCTAGGAACACCCATAAAATTGCAATTTCCCTTTTTTGGTTAGTAATGCAGTCACATTAAAGATGTACATATATTAGGATTTACATTTACTTTAAACTTGCAGAGTTATAATATTTTTTCCCAGAAGAATAACTTTTTTCCGGTGTGTGCCAAGAAACATAAGCTTCTGCGATCCTTTTCCTTTTATTCCATCAAAAATTATATTGCTATCATAAGAAAGATACTATGGCTTTCATTTCTGCAATATCTTTCAGACCTGTCATTTGCAAGGAGCGGTGTCACACTTCACAGCCCTGAAAAAGGAACAGTGAATTTGTTCTGACAAGCATACACTATTCCTTTTTCACACAGACCTTATTTTCCTCGCTGACTCTCCAGATATCTCATAACTATATTCAATATTATGGATATGCAGAGCACAGCTGTCTACATTCACAGGTGTACTTAATCTAATTTTTTTTTTTATTTCTGTTTTCAATTCAGCATAATTTCCCTAGGTTCATTGTATTTTGTAATAACTTGAGAAAAAATGTCTTTACATTTTCAATTCTGCTCTCAAGTCACCATCACCACTTTAAAAAAAAATTAAAAATTGAAGTTCAAACCTTAAATCCTGGTAGCTAGGATGATATACAACCTGTCAGGTTATGGTGACAAATGGCTGATACCCATGCACCATGACAGGAGCAGAACGCCCAAGCCTGAGTGGAGCCCCAGCAGCTTCACGAGGCCAACAGAGTCCCCTGTCCCAACCCCTCCAGGTGCCACAGGAGCCCTGTCATAAGTTGTGCTACTGGGGGGTCAACATATATGATAGGTAGGTAGGGGAATGTGTGTGCATACAAAAAAGTTTTTCATCCTGATCAGCCAGAGGCGAGCAAAGAGACTCCTGGTGGTGTTTGTGCCTGAGTAAGCTCTTAGTGTCCCTGTCCCTGTTGCTCCAGGTGGTTTCCATGTCTCTGAGTAGACGTGCCATGCAGTGTGTGCATGTCAGCCTGCTGGCAATGGAACTCACACTCAGCCCTGCTGCTGGGGGCACCTGGGGCATGGGGCTGTGGCAGTCTCACCTCCACTGGGCTGTCAGATTTGGCAACCCTTAACACAAACCATGGAACAGAATGGGAAAGGTTGGAAGGCATCATCTGGTCCAACTTCCTTGTTCAAACAGGGCCACTCTAAAGCACTTTGCACTGGATTGTGCCTAGATGGCTCTTGAATATCTCCAGTGTGGGAGACACAACAATCTCTCTGGACAGCCTGTCTCAGTGCATGGTCAACTGCACATTAAACTTCTTCCCCATACTGAGGTGAAAATTCCTGAGCATCAGTTTCTGCCTATTGCCTCTTGTCTAGTGCTTGGTACCACTGAGAAGAGCCTGGCTCCAAAAATGAGACACATGGTCCATGAGACAGGTGTCAAATATGCAATGCAACCTGCTGTTTTAATGACTTCACTTTCTTCCAAGCCAACTGAGAAAGCACGCAGCATCACACTTTTTGAAAGTAATCTGAGTTTTTATGTTCTTTTTCTACTACTTTTTCACTTAAAAGGCCAAATAGGGGACATTTAAAAGTTTGATGAAAATGCAACAGGTGATGATGAAAATAGAGTCACAGCATCATAGAATGGTACGGGTTGGAAGGGAACCTCAAAGATTCTTCCAAATGTCTAATCTAAATTTTCCCTCTCTCAGTTTGTACCCATTATGTCCCATCCTATCACTACATGCCCTTGTGAAAAGTCCCTCTCTGGCTTCCCCGTTTTCACCCTTCAGGTGCTAAAAGATTGTTATGAGGTCTCCATGAAACTTTCTCCAGGCAGAACAGCCCCAGCTTTCCCAGCCCTCTTCATAGCAGAGGTGCTCCATCTCTGATCGACTTCATGGCCTCCTCTGGACTTGCTCCAACACTTTCATGTCCTTCTTATGTTAGGGTTCCTTCTGAGCTAAGAAAAAGTGATAGAACCTCTTTTCCAAACACTTCGTGCCAGCATTAGTGGAGCAGAAGGGATGGGATGTTAAGCATTTTGTAGCACCTCTTTTCCAAACACTTCACGCCAGTATTAGTGGAGCAGAAGGGATGGGATGTTAAGCATTTTGTGAGCACCATGCTGGTGAGGCCACCTCTCGAGTTCTGTGTCCAGTTCTATGCCCCTCCATTCAGGAAGGACACTGAGGTGATGGAGTAGATCCAGATAAGGGCAATGGTGAAGGGTCTGGAGCACAAGTCCTGTGAGGAGCGGCTGAGGGAGCTGGGGTAGTTAAGCCTGGAAAAAAAAGGAGGCTTGGGGGGGACTTTATCACTCCCTGGAAGCACCTGAAAGGAGGCATTAGCCAGGCAGTGGTCGGCCTCTTCTCCCAGGCAACCAGCAGCAGGACAAGAGGAAATGGCCTAAAGCTGTGCCAGGGAAGGTTTAGGTTAGACAGAAGGAAGAATCTCTTCACAGATGGGGTGATTGGATACTGGAATGGAATGCCCAAGGAGGAATTGGAGTCACTATCCCTTGAGGTATTTAAGGAAAAGCTGGACCAGCGCCATGGTCTGTTGGTGGTGTTCAGTCATAAGTTGGACTCGATCTCAGAGGTCCATTCCAATCTGGCCGATTCTGCATTTCAAGGCTGCTGTCAGCTGGTGCGCAGGGGGTGACCGGGACAGCTGTAACCCTTCCCTCACGGCAGGTTAGCCTCCGAGCCACTTTCCCCACACGCGGCCGCCCCGTGCCGCAGCAATCTGGCCCCGAGGTTCTCCGCCCCGGCCCGGCCCGGCTCCGCCCCGCGGCCCCGCCGCCACATAAAGCAGCCGCCGCCGCCTCCCCGCCCCCGCGCAGCGCGGAGCAAGGGCTGGGAGCTGCCGTCCGCCGCCATGGTGTTGAACCCAGTGCTGGGGAAGCTGGTCAGCAAGCGGGTGGTGCTGGCTAGCGCCTCGCCGCGCCGGCGGGAGATCCTCACCAACGTGGTGAGTGCGGCCGGCGGCCGCTGGCCTCGCACGGGCTGGGGGCTGCGGGCGGCGGTGGCCGCCAGCGCCGGCCGGGCCTGCGGGGCCCGACGCCTCCCGGCCCGCCCGCTCCGTGAGAGCAGTGGGAGGGGAGCGGGCAATAAAGGAGATGTGTCCTTTCTGAAATGCACTGGTGCAGAGCAAAGGAGGCCGTAACCTGTCATTGAGACTGTTCAGCCCCTGCGGAGGAACGTGTGAGCCTCGCTGGGCGGGCTGCAGTGGACTTTTGAATAGCCCTTGGGTATTACCTGTCGAACTTAGTTTACTTAGTATTACTGTTCTTAATAATTCTCCCGATACATTGAACTTCAGCGGAAGAAAAAACTTCAAAATTCGGATGTGTGGAAAAGCACCGAGGTTCAGTTGTGCATTAAGTTAATTAGAAACATAGCATGCCTGCTGAGTGCAGTAAATGTACAAGTGTAGCCTAGAGGCAAAAAGTTGGAAGAATAGTTGGGCATTGTTTGATGACACCAAACAAAAATTGTCTGATTTTGTTTTCTTTTTATCATGTGTGTAAGGGCACATGAACTGCAGTAAAGCTCCTGTAAGAATGTGCACTGCTGTTGCATGGGTAAAGTGCTATGCAATTCAATTTTAAAAATCCAGTAGTATTTTTTTATTCTGTTTTTGAAGTGTGTAAGCTTATATTGTTAAGGTTTATATGAAAAGAAAAATGAAATTACAAATGTGATTAGATTCTAATAAGGGCAAAATCAAATATACACACCAATTTCAAAGTTCTGATTGTTTTGTTTTAAATTCCTTCTAAAAGATATGTATGCACTAAACACTGATAGAAGCACTGGGGCTTTTTTTCCGTGTATGTTTGGGGGAGGGAGGTGTGTTAACATGTAAAAAGCAGATGTCAAATTTGGTATTCGCTTAATATGCCTTGGGGGCAATGTTTAATAATGAGATCAGGTTGACTGCATCACTTTCCTGTGTTACAGGGCCTGCGGTTTGAGGTGGTTCCATCCTGGTTTAAGGAGACACTAGAAAAGTCATCTTTTACAGCCCCTTACGAGTATGCTGTGGAAACAGCAAAACAGAAAGCTCTTGAAGTAGCAAACAGAATGCATGTAGTAAGTTACTAACTATTGCTGCAATGAGCTTTTTGTCTTTAGGTGGTGCATGTTACTTGTTACTGTGACTTAATTTGCTTGCACTGCTTAAGTGATCCCTGAGGTTTGTTTTTTTCTCCACTGAAGGCTAATGGATGTTTTCCTGTTATTTGTGAAAAATGGTGTCTTGAAATTGCCTAATCAGAAGTCTAATGCCTGCAGTTCAGGCTTTCCACAAACTGAAGTGGCCTGTGTCTTTTGTCAGCATCATACCTACTCTTGTGTGTGATGCATATTCCATTTTTTTTTTTTTTTGAACAGTTGGGTGTGTGCCTGACCTCATTCCACGTATTTGATGTATTTGTTGATTGTGGAGACAGACTCCACAGAAAAACACTGATGTGCTTCCAGTGCTTTCACTGAAGGAGTGACAGGAATAGCTCAGGAGTTGTGAGTATAGAGGTACTGAAGGAAAGCAGAAAAAAATTACTCTTTCTTTTCCCAGAGTGTTTTAAAACAGAATTGGCCCATCTAATTTTAAGAAGGGAGAAGTTGATATAATTTTAGATTCTGTTAGACAAGGCATCCATTTTGTATCCTAAATTTTATCGAAACCAGTGATGCAACTTACACTTTCGGTGCTGTTTGACTTATGCCCTTGGCTGTGATCACTATTTGAACACATAAGGCTCACCAGAGGCTTGCTACATAAGGCTTGCTACCAGAACCTATTTAAAAGTTGAGCAGATTAAATCTCACAAAATGGACCATAATATTTTCTTAATAATATAGCTCTGAAAGAGAGAGGTGTTTGCTGCTCCTATTCTAGCAGCAGAAAAGGAATGTTGAACACTTTAACAGTGTTGCCAGATGTCACCATTCTTCAAAGCAAATATTGCATGATCTCCAGTGTAAATCGTTACCCAGTTTTCTGTTAACTTCTGTAACCTTCCAGACAATGGTACAGCATAGGAGAATAGATTTTAAATCCAACCTCAGTAAATTACTTACTTTGGGCTTTCATTGCAAAACACTGTACTGGTGATAATGCTGGTTCAGTGGATTTCAACATGCTTCTTCATACAGGAATTAGTAGAACTAATTCTAGATATCATTAAACAATTTAGAGCACATCAAGTCTTTGTCTAGAAGAATTGCTTCTCTATAAATGTTTTATTATAATGGTCACACAGATGGGTTTCATGTCATGCTATGATAAGTAACAGCAGTATGCCTTATAATATGCAGGTAAATCAAAACATAGCTATAAGGACAAGTACTGTTTAAAGCAAAGAAAGGTTTACAAGGAATTTTTATATATCGCTACCACATATTTTAAAAAGTAGATTGTGTTCCTTTATAAGAGAAAAACACTAAGTGTAGCTAAAAAAAAGGGATTTACTTTTCAGTAAAATTTTGCTTGGAGAAATGATCCTCGAGGACTGTATTCTCTGGCTTCCACGTACTAGGCACTTTAAAGGAATTGTTTGCCACCTTGAAGACCAGATTGACTTTTGAGAATGTGCTTTATTTCCTAGATGCATTTATTCATCAGTAACATATTTGGGCAAATTTGTGGCTTGAGAATGGTGTGCTCAAGCCTCATTTTTATGGTGATATAAACATTTACTATTTTGCAAACAGTGCAAAAGGAGAAATAACATCTTGTTTTCAGGGCAGTGTAGAGCCCTACTTCTAAACCAGTCAACTGCTATTGTCTCACCTTATGTCTTAAAAGATTTTGTTCTCTTTGTATCTTCTGACAAATACCTTCTTATGCTTTTGCAGAAGCATATGAGAACACCTGATATTGTTATAGGAGCAGACACTATTGTGGTAAGAATTCTTTAGTGATTTAGCATTATTTTAATTTATGACTAGTGTAGAAAATACTTGTATCTTTAGGTTTAAGTTTGAAAACTGCCTTCACTGTGAAGTTATACTTGCATTATGATACATGTTTTTGGGATGTGTTGATGTGGCTTTTAGGGCTTTTTTTCCCCAACAAGGTAGTTTTTGAACTCTTGAGAGCTAGAAGCCTTGCTGCTGGTTTTGGGGACACTAATACTGCCATAAATATTGCCTTGGATCTTCTAATATGTAATGGAAATTCTATTCTCAGGTGACTTGTCTGTCAGGAAGTCCAGATCAGTTCTGAACAGTTCTGTGCTGTGCCTTGTAGGAGGAGGTCACTTTGTATCTGACCTCTTCACAGAGACAGTGAACTGTTAAGGGCAGAAAAAGTTGAATTATCCTTTTGTTTGAGAGGTGCAGCCATTGGAGGGTAGAGTATGGCACTCATATGCTTGACACTCAATTACCTGTTCTACCCAAGTATTTGTGCTTCTTGCTCTACTCAATAGACTCAAGTTTGAAGCTCTGGCTGAAATCATGATATGAACATAATTTCTGACCTCAGTTCCTGAAAAGTGAGAAAAAGCAGCACACTCATTCTGTTTTTCTGTTTTAGTCTGTGGATGAGCAGATCCTGGAGAAACCAGTTGATAAGCAAGATGCCTACAAGATGCTATCAAGGTCTGTAGTTTTAAGTAAGATATGAAATTTGAAGACGCAGTTTTTCTCCATCACTTAGATTCTTAAAAGGGTTCCACAGAAGGGATACAAGCAAATTTTTTTGGGTTTTGTTTTGTTTGTTGTAAGTTTAGTAGGTCAATCTCTTAATTAGGGATATGAAAAGCACTTAATATTTAGCTTTTTAGAACTCCAGAAAAAAAGGCAGGCAAGATGATGCATCTTTGCACATATCCAAGGTGTCAAGTGAAAATTTTCACAGTTTCACCTTAAAGTTTGATGTGGAATCTTGTGGGGGACAGAGCATGTGAGATGCTTCTGATCTCATCCAAAAGTATCCTGGCTAATCTTTACGAGATTATTCCTTAAATAGTCTCTTCAAAGGTTCTCAATCCCTTGCTATCATCTGTTGCTTACACAGCAGATAATAAAGTCCTCAGAACTAATTGGCCACAGCGTGGCACTCTGGAGCCACTGGAGGAGAGAGCCAGGAGTAAGGGAATCTGGGCTCTTGCTCTGCACTCTGCTTGCCATGGGATCTCTGGGGACCAGTCTGGATGAAATGAGAACATATGCACTAGTTCCCTATTACATGTTTAGTCTGAGTTACATCACCTAGCTATTTATTGCCAGCTTTCAGTGAAGATGGCTCTAACAGTAGGATTTATGCCACCTGGGCTTTTCTAATGTATTTGAAATAGTCACTTTTCTAATGTACACTGAATGAGCTGATACCATGGACTACTCTTATACAAGTGGTATTTTGGAGACTTGAAATGACTGCAGCTTTTGGTAGGGGTTTTTTATGTGGTTATTTCTTTGTGTGTTTTGCCATTATATTTTCAGCAATACTGAAATAAAATTTATTTCTTTAGGATGCATGTCAGATCCATTGAGTGATACATTAATGTAATGGTCTGCATCTCAGGCTGTAGCAATATGATAATGTAGAATATTTCATAAGACTGTTGCTTAATGGACATTTTTTGCCTGACAGGTTAAATGGGAAAGAGCACAGTGTTTTCACAGGTGTGGCTATTATACACTGCCACAGTAAAGGTATGTGTCATTTTATTACAACCCAATAGTAGTATTAAAAATTACTCTCATGATAGCCTGTACAAGTAAAGAAACAGGATGAAAATGTTTCATATACAGTCGGAATTGGTTTTCTGCTCAAGAACTACCTTATCAAAATATAAATTGAAGTCTCCCCACAAAAGCCAACCTTCTTCCTGTATTCAGTTTTCACACAGAAGGAAAAATGACAAGACAATGGAGTTCAGAAATACTGTGTCTGAAAGCTGTGAGACTAATTGAAAGGCCAGTGGAAGTGGTGGAATATTCTAAATTAAATTCAAGTAAGGTACTACAGACTGTGAGACTGAGCTCAGTGTGATTCATATCAGCTTCATTCTGTGTTGTGCTTAGACCAGTTGAGGCTTAATGCCTCAGGCTGCTAAGAAGCTGTAGGGAGCGATACACCAATGTTCCTTATCACATAATTTATAGAGAAAGTGAGTCATTTTTATGGAAACTGTACCATTAATAGTGTTTGAAAGGCATTGTCTGATAATTGTGCCAATAATCTTTTAGTAGAGCTTTTGCAGACATTTCACTGGACATAGTCTTTCTGTACACAGTTTAAAAATTAACAATTTAAAAATTAACAGTTTTTAATCTTTTCTGGTGTGGTTGCTCTTAACTCCTGTAAGATGGGATTAAAGTTAGTGATGCAGTACTGCTAATATGCTAGAGGGAGAGCTGCTGCAAAAGAAGTAAAACATGATACCAAGGGCGTGTTCCTGTGAGCAACCCAGCAATGTAATTAACGCCTTTAACTGTTTACTCTAGGAAGAACGTTAAGTGCACCCAGCTGTAGTAGTGATACTATAACAGCACATCTCATTTGAAGTGTACAAATTTGAACTGCATCACAGTCAGATGAATATACCTTTAGTCTGCAGATTCCCCAAGAGATGCAATTAATACAACAATTCTGTAGAATTACTATAAAGTGTATTTACAGTTTATATTTATATTGTGGTTTTTAACTTGCTAAAGATGAAATTTTTTACTAGAATTTGTTATCAATACTGAAAGACATGGTAGTCTGTCTTCATATGCACCAATTTTCTTATTTTGTTTGGACTTCACACTATCACTGTTAGAAATTGGTTAGCATTCTTCCTTTGGCCTGTACTGTAGACATTTCTTACTCCTCCTCCAGCATTGCCACTGCTACCAGAACTGTGGTAGCAGGAGATGCTTGGTGTTTATAGAAAAGAGTAGAGAGAGCTAATAATCTGCAATGTGCACACTCATCTATGCAAGGCTGTTACCTTTTGAACATGTTTTGGAAAAGCCTCTGTCTGCAGTGACAGTGGGGTCCATACCAGGTTTGCAGTACTGTATTGCACCTTCCCTCATCCACTTCCAGCTACAGAAGTCTGAAATAATATTGTCATCTCTTCAGAGATGGTAGGAAGATGACGGTGGTGGTTCTTGATGGGACTGGTGGATACCAAGTCTGAAGTGCAGGTGCAGTTGCACGTACCCACTTTTATGACTGCTACATGTTGAACTCTGATATGTTGTTTAGAGTTCTTTGACAACACTCATAAAATTGGAAGGGTGGCTGTAACCTTCTTTGTACTCAGTGCTGGATATGTGTGCCAGCATCCATAAATAGCTTTGTGTAAGCATTGGTAATTTAAGAGTATATTCCACACAGGAAGAGCAGTCTGTTAACGCTGAGACAGGACTGCAGAGGTTGAAAATGGAAACTCTTACTGTTTTGGGAAAGTTGAGTCCACTTACCCTGAAGAACATTATTAGTCATTTCATACATCTGTGCAATATATTTAATTTTTCTCAAGCAAAATTGTCAAATGATTAAGAAATGCAACCTAGATGTTATGCTCTCTAAACTACAATTCCTGTTTCTAATAAGACCCTTTTCTTTCTGTAGACAATCAGCTAGAGATGGAAATCACTGATTTCTATGAAGAGACTAAAGTAAAATTTTCTGAGCTGTCTGAAGAGCTCTTATGGGAGTACATTCACAGTGGGGAGCCAATGTAAGTAAGACCTTGATGTCACACACAACACTTGAGAATAGGCCTTAGGGTACATTACTAAGCCAGTGTAAAACATTGTCCCGTGTTCTGTGAAATTTTGTTCTATGTGTATGAGAAATTATAGTATTGGTAATGCAAGGGCACTTATTCTTTTGTTCTTGTGTAAAGCTGTCATTTGTCCAGTGAAAGTGAGCTACCTTTTTAGAACCCTAATGAATTTGAAAAGTGAAGACTTGAAATACTCTGGATTAAGCAAGCACTTGTGCAATATCCAATTATCTTTCTGTTAGCAGAGGCATTCAGGGATCATCAATGCCCAAGACAATGCATAGTTCATTGCAAACAGGTGAAAAGAGTGTTGGATAATCAGGGCATCATTGAACTGTGTTGGGAGAAAGCTAGAACTTGGTGTATTTAGTTTATCAAAATCACTGCACTAATGCAAGGAGCACCAGCTTAGTTTTTACTTATCCTTGTGAAAAGTGAAAATGCAGTTTGTGTGTTGCTGTGTCAAAATTGTCCCTCAGTTTATCGTTTCTGCTACACTGGTAATATAGTTACTGATCTATACAGCAACATTTGCCAAGACAATATACCAGACAGCAGTTATTGCATGGAAGAAATAGGATGAGAACAGAATGCCTAGTTACTAGTCCTAAGATGAAGTTCACTAGATTGCTTAAAAAAAAAAAAAGTACTTATTTGGAGACAACAAGGGAAAGGAATTTGTCTTCTTTTTGTGTTGGCTGGGCCTGCCTGAAGGCATAGTTAGCACTATGGACTGCATATCAGGTGATCTGATGTGAACTTTTGTCCCTGTAGCTTCAATTCTGACCATGTAAGAAATTGTGGTGGTTTTTAAACTCATTTGTGCTATAAAACAATAAAGCCAAGTTTTACTGGGGAAAAGAAAGCACTGTGGACTTTGGATATACTTCAATGCTTATGTGCAAATGAGGTGTACTTTGTGAACATGTAAGGTTCACAGCTTATTGAATAGACTGATTTTTAAATTGGATTATATGGAGAGAATGTTTTGGCAAGACTGCAGCTTGTAATAAATTCCAACATAGGTTTTTGGCAAGTGATGTTTACTATGCTAGTTAGTATGATCTTTAGATTTAGTGGGCCATAAAGTTGCAGTTTGAAGGAGAAATGACCATGGATTTTTAGGAAGAATGTGAGGCTGAAAATTATATTGGAACATTCTGAATATTTCCTCTGGAAGCAAATAGCTTTAGCAGTACTTTGCTGCACCAAAACGGGTCACGAGCAGTGCTGGGTTGTTCTGTTCATTCTCCTAAAAAAGGAGTGTGACGTCAAGGGTTTCTCAAGGACCAAAGGTTCAGAGAATGTGTTTTATTGTTCTCTGAGGCTGAAGCAAACTTGATCTTTGTTTCTATAATCCTGTTTATATATGTTCCTGATATGTTTATATAATAGGAAGCACTTGTTCCGACTTTGTAAAGGAACTACTAAACACAGTGTCCTATAAATTTTGCAAAATTCAGTAAGGAGAAGTATCTCACAACATTTCTTTTGGTTATTTTTGTTCCCTCCTCCATGTCCACCCATACAGTTACACGATTCTATGCATATAGGTTTTTCTAAACAAAAAGTGATCATTCCTTTTTTTTTAATTTACATGGCAAAATAATTTTCTGAAATAATGCAAGACTTAATAATCACATGAAAAAATAAAAGAAAAATGACTAGTTCTTTTGTGGGATAAATGGAGTTCTTTTTCTAGCAAGAAAAAGTGTACCAAATGCAGTTGAGTCCATACCCAGATATGCAATACTTTATTGCACCTTCCTTCATCCACTTCCAGCTGCAGGAGTCTGAAATAATCTTGTCATCTCTTGAGAGGTGACAGGAAGATGACAACGATGGTTCTTGATGGGACTGAAGAAGAAAATTGGCTTATAGTATTTAAGTCAATCTCTGGTGACAGAGAGTAATACTAGAAATACATAGCTGATGTAAAGTATGGGTAAGGAAGGAGGTGAAATTGCTGTCTCAAGGTAGTCTGTGATGAGGCTATAAAAACCTCAACTTTTGGCTTCAGAAAGTTGTTTTCCTTTTGGTTTTATTCCTGTTCCTCTTTCTAACCAAGGATTTTCTCCTTGCAGGCACTGTCTCTTTCCTTCTTTTTCTGTGTATCTGTAGAAAGAAGGCTGTACCACAGTAATCCTCACTGTTTTGGGCTTGTATAATGAGTAGACTTTGACCCAGCTTTTTATTTTGTAATCTTTCCCTTATGAACAACTTCATCTGTCTCTGTTTACAACTGCTAGCCCGAAAACTGCTGTGATTTTAGTAGCTCTCCTCTGATGGCACTGAAACCAAAGGACTGCAGTCTGGGAAGGAGGTGATGACAGAGCCTTCAACTTTACAGTTTCACATTTTACTGTGAAGGAATAAAATACAGAATATAAATACTCTTTTCAGGATCCAATCCCAGAACATAAAGTGTTGTAGAGAAATAAATGTGTAGCCATTTCTGTTAATCTTCTTGCTGGGAGTATGATACTGCTGCTTTTGATGGTTGTAATGCTTTTTGCCTACCTGTAAGCATGTACCAATATTATAGCTTCATTGAAAAATGAGAGGACGTTTTAGTCATTGTAATATTCCTAATGAAGTTGATGTAAATCATAAGAATGTTATAAAAGAAAAAATAATTTAAACAATGACAAAGTTATAAGGTAGTGCTGACAATGCAAGATTAAAGGAAAATCCCTATTCACAATTTAGCAATTCAGAAAATCCTACTTGCTGGTATACTGATTCTTCTGATTGTTTTAGCATGCTATTAGAAAGGGAATCCAGAGGCAAGTACTAAAAATAAAGAGCTGTTTCTGATCAAATCTAAGATGAAAAATTAGCAATAATTTTTTTGTGTAGTAATCTTCTTTCTCAAGCAGTTTGTGTAATTCCATACTACCTTAAGTTAATAGATCTGAGACTGACTGACCTTTGGTTTCTAAGCTTGCTGACGTAGGCTTTCAGATTCTGCTGTTATGTAGGAAACGTACTTTTAACTGCCTTCTTCCTTGTATGAGAACAGTAAAATTGTTGGGTCTCCTGCAGCTTATCTGACTTGTTCATATTTCCATTTCAATCTGTGGAATTTGCATAATTACACCTAAAGACAAATTAGATTTCCAGGGTTAGTTTCTGTGCCTGTACATTCCTGTGCCAAATTGCCAGTATTACCATGACATCCAAGAGCAGAGTGTTGTGAACCACAACTCTATTCGGTCTCAGATGTTTGCACAAGAGATGGATGGATAGGGCTAAATAGAGTAGTGGATCTTATTTGAATGGGTTGCTCTTTTCCAAGGAAATCCTGTCTTCCCGATCCCCATTTTAGGTATTCCTGTGACTGAGATCTGCAAGATGCTTTCTGTAATAATTTGAGTTCTAAAAGGTCATCTTCATTGAGCCTAAAGGCTTTCCAGCCTCTTGTGGAATTGGGTGAGGGTCATTATGCATCTGGTGACCCGGTGGCAGTGTTGCTCTTGGTAACACTGTTACCTTTTTGGTAGCCACGACTTGGTAACCTATGACAACGCACTGACTGCAGTCACCTGCTGCTTAGGTGACTGCTTCCGACAGTGCAACATCAAGACCTTTGGCTCCTCACCCTTAGTAGGAATATTGATCCTTATATTTATCTTGTGATTTACAAATTGAAGTGTTGAGCCTACCTAGTAGATCTAATCTGCCTGTAACTTAGGTACACTAGTTTTTATTCCAGCCTCTGCAGTTCTGGTGTATTATTAGTGTTCTGTGATATCTCTGCTCTTAACCTTAATTAGATCTTTGTTGGTTTTCCTTTCTCTTCCTCAGGGACAAGGCTGGTGGATACGGTATCCAGGCCCTTGGTGGGATGTTAGTTGAGTATGTCCATGGAGACTTCTTGAATGTGGTGGGATTTCCTCTGAATCACTTCTGCAAAAAGCTAGCAGAATTGTACTATCCGCCCTCTAAACATGACGTACAACATAAAAAGTATGACTCTATCCCTTCTGTGGACACTTTTGAGAACCTAAGTGATGGAGAATCTTCAAATTTCACAGAGCACAAAGTTTCTAGTAAGTTGGACCACAGTGGGATGCGTTCCTCAGGAGCTGCTTACACTCCTGAAAATACTTCTGCTGTCAGAACTGGTTTTACAGTACCTTTGGAAAATCAGAATGGAGTGTCACAGAGTGCATCAAAACTTCCATCCAAAATTCTAGAGCTGATGGATGGTTTTAGAGCTTCAAAGGTAAGGGAAAAAAAGCTACTCATTACATGGCTGTCTGATACATTTGTTTCACTGGACTTCAGTATGTAACAGGTATTGTGAAATATTTCAGCTGGGGAAGGAATGTATTAATAATTAGTAAAAAAGGACCACTGACTTCTGGAGAATCTTAAGATAGCTGAAATTTCTGGTGCTGTGCAAATGTTGTTGGGTTTGTCTTTTTGTATTTGTTTTTATGCTTTCTATCAAATTTCAGTTGCCTATTGGATAATTTTATCCTTTGAGTTGAGAGGGAAAAGAAGTTGCAGATTTTTCTTTTTTTATTGATCAGAAGAGCACAACCAAGCTGGAATTATATACTCTTCAAAAAAGAAAAAAAAACCCAAACATTTAATGTGATTAACTCACCTGACTTAAAACTGTGACAAGAATTGTATATATTATATTTCCTTTGTAACTTTTAAGGCTTTGCATTAGAATTCTGTGGAAGATCTTAATTTTTTATTGCCTCTTCTGAATATTGTTTTTAATAACCTGTTTCATGTTCTGGATGTGTTTAACTGATAATATCCATGCTGTATCTGATGGAGGCATACTCATAACAGCTCACAAACAAGGTCACATGCTCTGTGTTTCAGCCAGGCGTGATGAGAAATGCATAACTGGACATTTTAAGTATTCCCAGATTTTCTACATAGTTCCAGTGTGGCAAAGATAATAGTAAAGAAGAGGAAGAAGAAATGAACAGTGGTCATTCTAATAGATTACTGGTCTCTAAGTTATTTGTGTTTTAGGAAGATGTGGGAAAAAATTGCTAAAGTGGCAGTGAAATGCAAACTTGGAGCTAAAGATCCAGCAACTCGGAGGTGAATGGAGGTGGGCACACCAGACAGTGAACAATAGTTTTGCTGAAACAGTGGAGAGTTGTGCTCAGCTCTGAAGGAAGACTGTAGTGTGATCATGTGGTTCTGTGGGTGTGCTGCTTGTAGGCATACAAAGCTGTCCTGAGAGCTTTGGAATAAAGTGGTTTTGAGGGTGCTGCATTTGTGAACTTCTTGTGTACCTATGGGGAGTGACATATTTGAATGGGTGAGATGATGCTTAGCATTTCTTCCATTTAAGTAAAAACAAATATGGATAATCATCAGCATGTGGCTGTACATTACTTTTACTGTTTACAGTGATGTGACGCTGAATAGTTTTGTGCAGTGAAAGACAGTGGAAGCTGGAAATAAAAGAAACAACTCTACTTTCTCACTACTCCTGTGTAAAGTCATAGTATGAGGTACTGAATCACATGTTGAACTAGTGGGATTTTTTTTCCCACTAAATGGATCGTTGTAAAATTAATTACCAGTAGCAATGAATTGCAATCTGACAAAACTCATCATGTTTCCATTTGCAGAATAGGTATAAGTACACAAAAGCATTTATTTCCACAAAAACTCAAGTTTTTTTCATCTTGATTCTTGGGTGTTGCTTCAAGAACTTTTTATAAAGCAGAGTAAAATCTCCCACAGGTAAAGGCATTGCTGCCTATTTTCCTGTGAACTGCTCTGTTGCAGAAAGGAGGAGATTGGGGTTAAATACTTGCAAGTTAAAAATCTTTGAAGTTTACTATGTTCAAAATTTACATGGTCTGATCTGTACTCATATCTTTTACATTTTTTCTTCTTTAATTATTTTTTTTTTTTTAACTGAGAATTACTGGATGGGTTGGTCAGCCAAGTTTTCTGCCTTATCTTCTCACCTTCTTTTTCCTGTTCTAATGGTTTCCAGTTGGTATGAGTCCAAAGACTGGGCAAATCTCAGAAGCCATCTGGTTGTAAACTAGGTGTGATTGGCTCAGTATTGTGAAAGCCTGAATTATAATAAATCCTGGCAATATGTTCTTATTAAAGTTGTAATAAAATAGAATAAAAAGATGTGAAGATTATAGAATATAAATACATGCAGTAGCAGACCTACCTCTCAAAGTTAATCTTTTTCTCCCTTTGATTTTTATTAAACAGAATGTCAAGGCACTTCTTTCCTTAATTACCTTTAGATTTAAATTGCATTATAGTTGCTTGCAATTGTAAAGAAATGGATTCTGTGATTGCTGCATTTGCCTCCACTGTTGTGCTCTCCACAAGTTCCTTGATTTTAGGTATTTTACCTGCTTCAGAATATAGAAACTGTAGAATTGCAAATTAATTTTGAATGGAGAGGTATATATTACTATATTTAAGTAACTTTACTCTGTGGTTTGGTTAGCATATCTTGAAAAAAGTTCAGCTAAGGATTTCAATTTAAGGCAGCCATTGCCCATGACTTTTTCTTCACCATGAAGCACTAGCTGTTCTTTTGTCCCCATCTGTACACATCCTGTTAAGGTGTGCTTGTAGTACAGTTGTCCTATGAAGTCTTATTCTTTTTGTTCTTAATCTTTTTGGGTTTTTTCCTTAATTTTGATAAAATAAAGACCTGTATTTTAGCAACTGAAGCTGTTGCACTATCTTAGTGGAGACTTTTGAGTTCCTTATGCGTTGGGTCTTATCAAATTTAATTTTTCATTATTTAATAATAATTTTTATTATCAAATTTTGGTATTGGTTCATATGCTTAAGAATGTTCCATTATGTCAAACAGCCATATAGATGGGCAAGTGCTAAATATATAAATAAAGTGGGTCTTCATACACAATTTTTAGGCTGCATTCCAGAATACTGTGAGTTCCCTTCTCTCCCAAACACCATTGTTAAAAGTTCTGTTACTTAGCCAAGATACTGAAACCCTCTGAGAAGGAAGGGAGCAATTTTTAGGAGGTTTGTGAAATTGTGTTGCAGTAGTTTAACGGTAGTTGTGTAGAATAATTGTAGGCAAACAATATAATTCTTCTGTTTTCTGATTGCAGTCTTTTAAACACAGCATGATAACAATTTCTTACCTACACATAGGCTCTGTTTGTAGCCTCTAAGCTGAAGATATTTGATCATCTGAAAGATAAAGGTCCAACGAAGGCTGTGGATATTGCAAATGATGTTGGAACCTCTGTATGTGGAACTGAAAGACTCCTTGATGCATGTGCTTCTCTTGGATTACTGGAGAAAACACCACAAGGTGATTAATTTACCCTCTGTGCAACTGTATATACTAAAAGACAGGCAGGACTGGAAGAGATGCTTTTAAGGTCACAGGTTCTGACTTGATTTTGTGGGTAACTTGGATTTGGGGCAGAGGGAAATGGATTCCTTTGCTTTCATTATTAGTAGCTGGAATTGTTTCATGTGGTGGAAGGCTTTATGTAATGAACACATTCAAGTCTCCTTTATGGAAACCTTAGATTGTTTTTGCTCTCTGGACATAATACTGACCAAATTTCTAAGAAAAGATTGCATGGACAGTCTCAGGGAACAGTGTAATAGCTCAGATCTGTCATCTGTACTTGAGTCACACCAACCGCATGCAGCACTACAGGCTGGGGGGAAGGTGGCTGGAAAGCTGCCCCAGGGAAAGGACCTGGTGGTGTTCAAGAGCAGCTGAACATGAGCCAGTGTGTGCCCAGGTGCCCAGTGAGCATCCTGGCCTATGTCAGCAGTAATGTGGCCAGCAGGAGCAGGGCAGTGACTGGAGGTATTTAAAAGGTGTGTAGATGTGGTACTTGGGAACCTGGTTAAGTGGTGGAGTTAACAGTGCTGGGTTAAAGGTTGTACTTGATAACCTTAAAAGGCTTTTCCATTGAAGTGATTCTGTGTTTCTATCTAAAATGATTGTCAAATTCCATTTCCTGCTGCATCAGTGCCGTCAGTCTTCAGCAGAGGGATCAGGCTTTTAATGGGGAGAGTTCTGCAATCTGTCCCTCTTTGGACAACAACTTAAATTTTAGTGCTCCTCATTGGAACAGTCCATGAATGTGTATGTAAAGGAGGGAGTCAGTATTAGGATTAACTTTTCCAATCAACACTATGTGGTTCTAAGTTTCCATGTGTATCATTTACATAGCAGGACTTAAAATAATTAGGTGTAAAGAAAAGAAAATAAAGGAGTCTTTCTAACTCTGTTAGAGGACAAGACAAATGAAAAGACCCAAAGACAAAATGGAGAAAGCTTAAATTCAGGAAAGAAGCAGTCATAATCTAAACAAAAATAGTCAAGAATGAGGAACTTCTAATACTGTCCCTTGAATATTAGGTATCTAACTGAGGTGCTTGGGTTTAAAATAAAAAAAATAAATCAGTGTGTATCTATATTTTCCAGCATCTGAATTCTTTTTTGAAATTAAGTACTTGCTCCTTTAAGAATGACAAGACTTTGAGAATTACTTTTTGTGCAAAAATTTTAGTAATAGATCTTAAGATCAGGATTACTAGTTATTTATGAAGGAAAACATCCCTTCAGATTTTAAACAACAGTTGCAAAGTACTGAAACAAAACTGGTTACAACTGTGTTCTTCCCATAAGGTTACAGTAATACAGACTCAGCAAATACCTACCTGACCTCAGATGGTAAATACTCACTTCATGGCTACATTATCCATTCTAATGACCACCTTTGGCCTCTCTTCACAAACTTGGAGTCTGCTGTCAAAGAAGGGAGCAGGCAGCATCATCGAGCCTTTGGAAAGAAAGCAGATGACCTGTTTAAGGTAATATAAACTCTTACTAGTATCAAAATCAGCTGTCTGGAGCCCAGAACTGATCTAGGGACAAATGGAGATAGAGTTATCTGAAGAAAGTTTGTTAGTCTCAGAAATGGTAGAAACACAATGCAATTCACCAGTCCCAGGCTTCTGTTCCCTTCAACTTTAGGCTGTGAAGTAGTGGAGCAATCACAGAGTATATTGGGAAATTTGAGTGCTGACAAAAATTCTCCAGATGAAGTGTTGTCCATCCCACGGACACACTCTCAGAACAACCTCTGGGCCTGATTAATTTGTGTCCCTTTTATAACACCAGATAGTACCTTACCACACATGCACTCCTTCCATATTGCATGCCAGTCAGTTGATAGTGATGTGCATCCAGTTTAGGTTGTGCTGCTTAGTCAAAGTTTGTTTGTGTTGATGCAGTGGACAAGGGATCTAATCTCCTTTATGATGTATAGTTTTGTATAAGCTTCAAGCTGATATCTATTACTGATAAAATTGTAATCCTTCTGCCTTCTGTTTCAATCTGTGGTATTCCTTTCCCAATGCTAGCCCAAGAGGATGTGATCAGACTGGAGAATCACTTAGGGGTGTAACTAGCCTAACTTGTCAGTTACCCATGTGGTGAAGCAGGTTGAGAGGCATAAATATTTGTGCCTGTGTAAGCAGAGAGCTGCTAGTGTGAGCAGAATGTCATTGCCAGCACTGCTGGCTTAAATTGTACTTCAGACTACATTCTGAGGTCCTTAATTTGTATTAAACATCAAGATGGTGATGAAGGCGGTCTCCTGAAGGACATGTCTACATCCCTCATGTATTGTCAATGGAAAAAAATAAGGACTTCTGGAGGCTTAAAAGCTCTGCTAGCTTCATGTTAGTACTTAAATAACTGGAGGACAAAAACTCCATTAGAAATCATTCAAAGGGTCTTTAAAAGGGAGTTAAGATACTTTCTTTAGGACAGCTGTTGGAGTAGATGTCTAAATTTATATACAAATTAAGTGGTTTAATTAACCACTGGAGCACATCCTTTGTTAAACATCTGGGTTATCAACTTTGCTTGGGTGATGCTTGTGTCCAGTTTGGACCTGAGCTCCATATGTGTACAGGATGGTGTGCCTGAGCAGAATCTTTGGGCTGCCTGTGGCACTATGCACACCACAACATGGAGATACTGCCACTTCATGGTAGTTGCAAAGCCAGCCATAACTGGTGAAATCTGTACAAAGGTGAAGGGTAAAGGGATTTGTGTGTTTGTGTCCTTGAAAAGGTAAAGGTATGAGTTTCTGCTCCTGAATGCTTGCTTGTTCCCTAATCAAAAAAAAACCAGAATGATCTTTAACATTTCTGTTTTATGGTATAGTCCAATTATCTAGTTATTTTTCCATCATGGGAGAATACATGTTTGAGTGAAATGAAAGCAATTTTTGAGGATATCAAGAAAGAGCACTAGAATTTTTCTTTCATTCTCCTAAATTTGTCCTTTCAAGGTGTCTGTGTGATCAGAATTCTTGAGAGGATGCAAAAATCTGCTTATTACTACAGCAAAGGATTTGAATGAGCAAATAGTCAGTGACACTTTTAATGGACCTTTTCATTTTGGGAATTCTGATGTTCACCTACTGCCTTGTTTGTACATAGTTTTAATTAACTCTGAAAATAAACTTTAATTATGCTGCTTTTCCCCCTTTTTAGGATTATTATCACAGCCAGGAGGTAAAGCAACGTTTTATGGCTGCCATGCACAGCATTGCTCACCTGACAGCAAGAGATGTGGCTACAGCATTTGATCTTTCACAGTTTAAATCTGCTTGTGATTTAGGAGGTATTGCTTGTAATTTAACTTGTATACAAATTAAAGGGAAGTGCTTGATTTCAGTTCTGCATTTTATTACTTAAAAGACATGTATATTTTTACTAGAACTGCAGTAATACTATCTGTTGTTTTTCTGATACTGCAATGTCAGGATAAAAGAGCAGTGCAGCTAATTGAAAGCAAAGTTACCTAAATGGTATTAGAATAGCTTAAGATTAGTGAATGTTTGTCTCAATCAGTTACACAGTTCAAGGCAGAAAATAAGATAGTGGCTCAGATGATACAGCATTGAGGTGGGAGTGTAATTTTCAGCAGTGTTGTTGCTTTCCTTAGGCACATCCAAGATCTTCAAAAGTTAAGCAAGTAGTGAACCACCACTATTGGGGTGTCAAACTTGAAACACTGCACTGCTAAAACAAAAGTTTTGATTCTTTTCTAGTGGGTTTATTTTGTGTATTGTTGTAGTTATTAATATCTAATATATCCATCAAAATGTTGAAGACCAGTGATATATCTGAAGAAACTCTGCTTTTTAGCACTCCTTTTTTTTTATAGGAAACCCTGTGCTTGGACCTGCACAGAGGAAGTGTTATTATATAGGGAAAGATCCACTGAAGGAAGAATAATTTATTTAGTGCCTGAGGAGGTGGACAGTGTCTTAGAGGAATTAACCCAATACTGGTACAACCGTTGCCACTTGTGCAGAGACTTCAGAACCTCACAATCTTTACTATGCTGGAGAGTGTCAAATTTCCTCTATCAGTGCTTTGTAAATGCTAAACAGTTAGAGGTGTTCTTCTTCAGCAAATAGAAGTATTTGCCTTTTCATTTACATTTTGATACTCACCAGAAAAACCCTGAGGTACTGATATCAAAGGTCACATTTGCAATTCTGTGTCAGTAAGGAGTCATGCCTGCATTCCACAGGCTTTAAAACCTTGCTCTATCAACCAGGAAGTCTTGTTCATTGTTGAGCTGTCTACCTCTGGTTCTGATTGGATGTCTCTATTTCACAATGTTATATACAGCCTTGTCTTTAAAAATGTCTGTAAATTCTGGGAGAAAATAATTGAATTGACTTCTTTAAACTCCTAACAGGTTGCACTGGAGCTCTGGCTTATGAATTAGTACAAGTATACCCAAATCTCAAGGTCACAGTATTTGACCTTCCAGAAGTCATTGCAAACACCTCTTACTTTCAGCCTTCAGGACAGCACACTGCTCCAGTGACATTTGTGTCAGGTAAATGTAGCACATGATCATTTTTCTGGTTTCTCTTGTTTTTGAGCACAAACAGGCTCTTTTGCTGCTGCTCCAACCCCAAACATATCTTAGTACAAGGCAATATAGGTTCCTCCAGGCTAAATGGGGACATAGTATTTTTCAAGACTGTGGGGATAAAAAATGCTTGGAGAATGTGGCTAAGTAGGTATGAATTAGTAATTTTTTGAGTACCACTGGAAGCAGAGGCTGCATGTGCTTGTCTGAGGTATTTAATTTCTAGACAAGATCAAAATGGTGACTACAAAGAACTTTGTCTCCTTCCTTGCTTTATGTTTGCTCTCTATTTTTTTGTTAGACAACTCTTGCCTATGATCTGCTCTTTAACTACACTTCCCTTATCTGCAAATCAGGGCATACTGTACCTGTTCATTCTTGTTACTGTTGTACTCTGCTGAAGGGCCTTGTTTTTGCAGTATGTACTCTGTGGTTTCTGTAGGAATGTACTAACTCTGTTTTCCAACAGGTGACTTCTTCAAGGATAATCTTCCAGAAGCAGATCTTTACATCCTTTCACGTGTTCTTCATGACTGGCCTGATGAAAAGATACACGTGCTGTTAAGCAAGATATCAGCTGTTTGCAGACCAGGTATGTTTTATTCATCTTGTGAACTTACAGGTGCATGTTAATGTACCTTTAATGAGCACTGACTAATGCTTTTCTAGTATGAACTTAGGATATTTTTTGTTCAATCATAGTAGCTTTTGCCTGAATGTGTAGGCTTGCATTATGATAATACCTACTAAGAAAAAGAAGGAAACAAAGCTGCAAATAAAACTATATATAATAAACTTTCACTATAGCTGCAGGCTTGACGTACAACTCTATCATATCCCCAGTCTCTGTAATGCCCAGTCTTTCTTCCTAAGCCCTGTATCATCAATTAAGTAAGCATGTGCCTATTTCTGTACATAAAATTAGCCTAACTAAATTCCTTTGGGTAAATCAAGAAGCAGCAGTTTGTTTTGCTGTTGTTTTGCTATCTCAGTAGTGTCCAGAATATGGTAAACTGGCTGAAGTTCAGTACTACTTTATGCACACATACCCTGAGAAATATGCATCCCCTTTGACTTTCTACTACATTTGAATCATAGAATCATCAGAGTATCTCAAGTTGGAAGTGACCCTTAAGGATCGTCAAATTGAACTCCTTGCTTCTTGAAGGCTTAACTAAAACTAGTTGATATGACTAAGAATGTCATGCAGATGGTCCTTGAACTCCAGCAGGTTTGGTGCTGTGACCACTTCCCTGGGGAGCCTCTTTCAGTCCCTGCCACCCTCTGGGTGAAAAATCTTTTCCAAATGTCCAGTCTGAACTTTCCCTGATGCTTCATTGCATTTCCTTGTGTCCTGTCACTGGTTCACCAGAGAGAAGAGATCAGCACCTTCCCCTCTACTGCTCACTTTGAGGAAATTGTACATGGTGATGAAGTCACACCTCAGCCTTCTGTTCTCCAGTCTGAACAGATCAGGGGACCTCAGCTGCCCCTCATGAATTTTGGCCTCATGGCCCTTCACCATCTTGGTCACATAAACTGAGGCACCCAAAATTACCCACAGAATCAAAGAATATGCTGGGTTGAAAGGGACCCATCAGAATCCTCAAGTCCAACCTCTAGCCCTATGCAGGATGCCCCAGGGGTCACACTGTGTTCCTGAGAACATTGTCCAAACACCCCTTGAACTCAACAGTCTTGGTGCTGTGATCACTTCTCTGGGGAGCCTGTTCCAGTGCCCACCCATCCTCTGGGTGAAAAGCCTTTTCCTGATACCCAAACTAAACCTCCCCTGACCCAGCTTCATGCTGTTTCTTTGAGTTGTGTCACTGGTCATGAGAATGAAAAGATCAGTACTTGTCCTCCATTACCCCTTGTGAGGATGTTGAGGACCACAAAGAGGTCTTCCATCAATCTCCTCCAGGCTGAACAAAGCAAGTGACCTCAGCTGCTCCTTATAAGGCTTTCCCTTGAGACCCTTTACTGTCTTTGTGGCCCTCCTTTGGATGGTCTCTATTAGCCTAATATATATATAGATAGATAGATATAGAGAGATATGGATATCTATATATATATATATGTAGATGTATAGATAGCTATATATATATATGTTGTATATTGTGGTGCCCAAAACTGCACACAGTACTCAAGGCAAGGCTGTACCAGCACTGAGTAAAGTGAGACAATCACCTGTTTAGTGATCATCTGACTAAATCACAGAATTTAGTGATCCTGTGCTTGGATGCATCCCAGAACACAGCTGTCCCTTTAGACTGCCTAGGCACACTGCTGACTCATACTCAGGCAGTATTAAAGATCAAAGAAGACAAAAAGCAGAAAAGCATGATTCCTTAATTCAAGTGTAGGTCTGACATTTGTTTCAGAGGAGACAATGCAAAATAAGACTTAGCCCATAAACTATAATCCTGATTATAAATTATGAAAGAAAATTTTGGGTGACAATCTTATGCAAAGTTTAGGTTATGACAGATGCTCACAGGAATTGTTTGGTTCAAATGAAAGCAAGGCAGAGTTTAAGAGCATAGGCAGGAAGTGATCTGAACTTCTGGAGACAGTGCTCTAAACTCTCCCTTTTTTTTAACAATTAAATGATTGCTTCCAGGAAGAGATTGCTGAAAGTAAATTTTCACTGAAGACCATTAAAAAGGTCAGTCTGAGGGGATCTCTGTAATTGTCTCTGAAAAAGCACTTTAAAGTTGAACTTACACAGAACCACTTTTGGTTGTTTTGGAAATGCAGGAAGTGCCTTGCTAGTGGCAGAAACTGTGCTTGATGAACAGAAGACACACCCTTCAGTAGCTGTGCTACAATCCCTCAGTATGACTGAAGGCAAGCAGAGAAGCAGCTCAGAATATAAACAGCTACTGGAGAAATATGGATTCACAGATGTACAAATTAAGATCACAGGAAACTTATTAGATGCTGTTCTGTGCTTCAAGAAGAATCTGTCACTGTAGAGTGCCCACAACCAATCTGGGATGCTGAATTTTCACCCCTTGTGCAATATACCCATCATCAACCAGCTCCTATTGGCAGTTGAGGATCATTTTGGCCCTTTGTCTGAAGCACAGCTGTTACAGCCCTTGGATACAAGTTGGAATGCAGCTTCTGCCAGAGTGGATTCTGTGCATTTTAAAAAGTGTCTGGGGCAGGCTGAAACTCCTGCATATGAAGTACCTTAATGTCCAGTTCTTCTGCATACTGTATTAAGCTTAGACTTGGCATAGCTGTGTATACCATGTCAGGTTAAAACGGCAAGCTTGTACTGAGGAACAATAATATCTTAGTTTTCTTGGGCCATAAAATTAAAGAGTTCTCCCTCTGCAGTGTATTCAGTGGTTACTACTAATTTTTATCAGAAATAAAAAAAAAATAATATTGTGTGATCTGCCTGAATTTGGGCATGATAGTCCTCTTTTTTCACTGCTGTGTGGGACTTTACTCAAAAACAACTCATATATAGTCTTTCAAAGCACTTTTACAAGCAAAGGTGAAAACAGAACAAACCTCAAACATGCTCCTACAATAGCTGTAGTGTCACAGAGGAACTTCAGCAGCCTCTGGCCTCCAGCCACAGTGTGTACCTGCACAGGCTATAGCTGAGAGCTGTTCATATTGCTTGCTGTCACTTCTGGGGTTTTCTGAATATGGTTGAATGGCCATATATAGTTTCTGTCTCATTAATTGAGATGAGTTTTAGGATTTATGTATAAAACCTTGTATGAAACTTTCAAAAAAATAAAAGTTTCTTCATGCTTCAGTCTTTAATTGGAGAACTGCATACTGTATCCCATCTCTTCAAGTAATTTGTCACAAATGTCACCTCTCCTAATGTTTATTTCTCTCCTGATACTTCATTGATATTTATTTTTTCTTTTCAAAGTGTAATGGAAGCCTTTCTGGAAATTAAAGTTAATTACACTTTCAAACTAGCTTTCTTTCTATCATTTGTGAGGTTTTTGCCTGTTGCTTGTACAGCAGTAGTCCAAATAAACCAGGGTGCAAGAGGCTGTGCCAGAAGTGAATTACCAACCTCAGCAAATTAGAGAGAGTTAATGAGGAAGGTTAAGAGTGCATCTGCCTGGATGTTAGTTAATCAGGAGTTACTTTGCTCCTTGACCAATGGGTAAAGAAAAAGTGCCACACTGGCTCAACTCATTAGGAGAAACAGGCTTCCTACAGAGCATTTCAGGTGTACAAAATCAGGGAAATGTCAGACTTTACCACACTGGGGTTTTTAATTCTTAGCAGAAGGTTTCTATGAATGGAATTTTCACTGATCTTATCTGTACAGACATTTAAAATGGATAAGGCGGAGTATTCAAATGAATAAATTTAAAATGTTTCTTTTCCACATTGACATGAAGCTTGCTTTTAGCTTAACAGATTTGTATGTTGAGAGAGACTCATTCTGGCAATTGCATGTGTCTCATCTCATAGTTACTCATGAAGTTCATAATGCTGTTCCTTAAGCTGCTTTAAGCTGTTTGAGTCAGAAGCAATCAAATCCTAACACTGGCACACCTGTAACTGTTACAGACTTTAAAACTGTGCCCCTAAGTACTATGTCTCTGACTGTAAAATTAGAATAGAATGTGTTTGGCTAGCACCCAGCCTTCATTTACTCTGTGATTAATGCACAACACTAAGCATTAGTCCCTTGGGCATGCTGTCTTGGTCATGTACCACAGCTTTGCACTCTCAGGATAATTAAGTGTTGGAGCAGATGATCCAGGGAGGTTGTGGAATCTCTGTCCTTGGAGGCTTCCATGTGTGAAGCCAGTCCTGAAGAAGCTGAGCTGATTGCAGAGCTGCCCTGCTCTGAGTGGGAGGCTGAACTAGAGATCTCCTGTGGTCTGTTTCAGGCTCAGGTGCTCTACAATCACGTGATGCAGCCTGGTCACCTGAGGAATTATAAGCTCATTTTACTAATACACAAATTAAGTTCTTCAGTTGCTCTGAATATCTTTTGCTGACTGGTAGAAGGAGTGGATTTAATAGTCTAACACTGAAAAGATTCTAAGCAATGTACATAACTGAGGAAAATTTTCCTGACATGATGAATGAGGGGGGTTAAGTTTTAAAAATTTTTGATGATTATTGAATGTCTGAGCTGTACAAGTTGGAATGGCTCTGAGGAGATTGTCTTAAAAGTCAGAAAGGTATGAATGTTATGCTGCACTTCATAATAAAATCACTCTGAACTTCTGCTATTTTGATCTGAGTTGGTGTCAGGCCAAAAGGCAAGTATGTATTGCAATGCTTTTGTCAGTAGCCCTCTCTTGGCTTCCCTTCCCCCTCACAGGTCTGAATATGGAGAAGAAGACTCTGTAAATCACATCATTTAAGTTCTGCTTTCATCTTTAGGTTAGTCCCACCACAAAGAATTGGGGTTCTACAGAAAAAACGTACAGAATGTATTGAACAGAAATATTGACTTCTCCTCTACTTCTGTAATGCTTGCCATCCACTCTTCTCTCTGCTTGGCATCATTTCAACCTGAATGTGAAGCAGCAGTATATCCCAAAGAGATGCAACTCTATTCCTGTCTTACTGTTTTCTATAGTCCTCATGCCAAGTCTACATAAGTCGTCCCCTTTTCCCCTGAAAACAGAGACGTGACTTGACTTGTGAGTGTTTGATCACTCCATGCTGGGAAAGGGAATTTCCTGGGGTTTGTGAGAGGAGTGGATTATTCCTTTAATAGTGGATTAGTCATTTAATAGGAGAGAAAATCCATAAATGATAAAGGAAATCACCCACGTCTTGTAGTTTGCACCCCTCTATATGGCAGCAGAAATTTTCTTGTCTGATAATGGATTAGAATTGTTGCATGTGTTTGTTTTTAAATTAGGCTGTGCAATTTTGCTGGCTGAAATGGTGTTGGATGATGAAAAGAAGAACAGGAGCACAGCTCTGCTGCAGTCTTTGAACATGCTTGTGCAGACAGAGGGAAAGGAGAGAAGTGGCTCTGAATATCAAGCTTTGCTGGAACAACATGGATTCAAAAATGTCAAAATCAGAATAACAGGAAATTTGTTAGATGTCATTCTCTGTGTTAAGACTTAGAAAAAATGTATTAAGCAGTAGTCTGGATGTCTTGTGTTTGATGTTTTGTAATTATCCAAATACACTCTCAACTTCCCATCAATACCATAAACAAGAAATGTAATAAGAAATGCCAGCTTTGTGGTATTACTTTTATAAAGTTTATTTCATTTAGTTTAGACTTCAACAGAATGATGCCAGGAGATTCTGTGGCTGCACAACACGCGTAGGACACAAATGGTGTCATCAGCCCAAGGGCAGCATTCATGCTGCTGAGAAGTCACTTTCTTCATACTTGGTGCAATTAGAATAGTAGAGTTTTTAGACCAGCACACATTGCTTTGCCCCTGTTCCAGGAGGTTAATGTTGGTATCATTTTAATGCTCCATCACTATCCATTTTAATATCATTTTATGTTACGCCCTTTACTGTAAATAAACCCTTTACACTCCAATCAACTCTGGAAACTGCTACTGCAATGGTGTAAGATGGGAAACAAGAACTGGAGCAGCAGCTTCCTGAGAGAGTCAAGACAGGCTGCACTGCATTAAGAGAGGCTTCCAAAAAAAAGGCAATTATATAAAAGTACAAGTTTCTGCTGTGATTGTAATTTGAGATTAAATGTGAGGGCACCAAGTTTGTTTCAAGAACATCATCCTATACCTTTTTAGCCCTACTTAATTTGTGAGCACCTATAAAAGTGGATAGCAGAATATGAGATAAAGAGGAAAAAAAGGTGAAGAAACAGAAGAAAAAGCATGGTGATGGAGAAAAAAGGATTTCCCCCAGTCATATGCAGGTGAGCTCCCAAGCTGAACAGAACATGACAACTACAGACTGAAAAAGTTCCCCATTACAAGTTCTGTGCCTTTTACCTTCATTTTTTGCACTGATGATACTCTAAAGTCTTAGAATATGAAGTTCTTTTTGAATCAATAGAAAATTTTATGGTGAACAAAATCTCAGTCTCGCAGACAAGGTATTGTGCTAAGAGAGTATTAACATTCAGTTTTGAGCTTCTTTTAAAGGAAAAATTACCACACTCTGTGTGCCTCCCTGAATGAATGTACCACAGCATTTCATAAATTACATTCAGAATATGGCCTTCTAACACCCTATGTGCATAAACCCCTGTGACCACAGGAGTCACTTCAGTCTGTATTATGCTTCAGGAGAGCACACAGTTTATTTTTGATCTTCTGGTGTGCAAAAAAAAAGTATAGTGACATATCTTGTACTAGAGCAGAAACAAAGGCTGTGCCTAGCACCTTTTCTTCTCACAACATGCCCTCTTGAGAGACATGCTCATTTTGAAATCCTGCTAAGTACATACATGTGTAAGCAGTGGTTACTGGCACCTCAGCTACTACAGCTTTGTGGTTCACAATGATCTGTTTAAAAAAAAGGTTTGGCCTTGTTGACTTTGGTTGGAAACACCCACAAAAAGTGAAAGCAGGTGATGTGAACTAGTTAGAACACTGCACTCCAGTTAGAACAATTTCAATGCTTTTAGAAAGAATAGGTATCATTTCAGACAGAAGTTTGACAGGTTCAAAATATCAATTTCAGCAGACAGTAAAATAAGAAAAGTTACTGATGGAAACCAGGCCTGTCTTGGTAGGGCCTGAGTCCCTGCCATGAGTGCTTGCTGTGACAGCTTGCAGGGGAGGTTTTCACAGCATCTAACTTCAAGTGCCCATACAAGAAGCTGGAATTACCCTGTCCTTTTGTCCCTCTGTTGTCCCACAGGAAACTGCAGCTAAGTCCATTGTCTTGGATCAGTTCAGTGACATACAGAAAAGTCCAGTGATGTGACCCTTGGCACTGGCAGTGCTAAGAAGGAGGTGTGAACAGAACCTGGGAAGAAGGATATGTCATGGATCAGCATTACCCAGAGGGTGGTGAGCATGGAGCAAAACTGACAGTGCCTGGACAGTGCCTGAAATCTGCTCCCCTCCACCTGACAGCTGCTGCTGGCCCACAGGGACCCCATGCAGTAAGCTGTGTCTCCCTCCTAGACTGGCTTCCAGCAGTTGCTGCAGAAAGAGCCTCCCAGTTCACTTGCTTGTGCTGCTCATTGACTCTGCCTGGGCCCACAGACCCATACCCCAAAGTCAGTGCTCCAGCAGCTCACACTCAACAGAATCAGAATCACAGAATCAGTTATGTAGGAACAGAAATCTCAGATCATCAGGTACAAGCTCTGACCCAAAACCAGGTCAGCAGATCATGGCACCAAGTCCAATCTTGTGGCACCACCAATGCCACATCTACTCTTTCCTTAGATACACCAAGGGGCTTTGACTACACCACTTCCCTGGACGGTCCATTCCAATGTCTCACCACTCCTGTGAAAAAAATCCTCCTAACATTCAACCTAACCCTCCCCTGGCACAGCTCAATATTGTTTCCTCTTCTCCTGTTGCTGGTTGCCTGGGAGAAGAGGCCAACTCTCACCTGGCTACGGCCTGCTTTTGGGTGGTTCTAGAGAGCAATAAGGTCACCCCTGAGCCTCCTTTTCTCGTGGCTAACCAGCCTCAGCTCCCTCAGTCGCTTCTCACAGGACTTGTGCTTCAGACCCTTCACCAGCACTATTGCCCTTATCTGGATCCGCTCCACCACCTCACTGTCTTTCCTGGATTAAAGGGCTCAGAATTGGGCACAGTACTCGAGGAGTGGCTACACCAGTGCTGAGTGCCGGGGCAGGATTACTGCCCTGCTCCTCTTAGCCAGGATGCCACTGGCTTTCTGGCCTCCTGGGCACACGCTCATTTTCCGATGCTGTCACCAGCACCCCCGTCCCTTTTACGCGGGGCAGTTTTCCAGCCAGTCTGCCACGGGGTTGTTGTCACTCAAGTGCATTTGACATTTGCTCTTGTAGAACCTCATACAAGTAGCGCCCATCGGTCCAGCCCGTCCAGACCCCTCTGCAGAGCCTGCGTACGGGGCGATACGGGGGCTGTGCAGGCTGGGGCGGGCGCTACTGGTAGCGGCACAAAGCGATCGCGGAGAGAGCTTGGGAAGGCGACCGTGTGCGGACAATTGTGTGGGCAGCGGCGGACCCGCAGGCTGCCCCGCGGGGGCCGGGCCGGAGCGGTGGCGGTGCCGGGCCAGTGGCGGGGCCGAGCCG